ACATACATGCACACACACTGAGAAAAAGCAGAAATGTTATCTTTTTGTTGATAAAACAAGATTGTATTCAAGGTGATTTCTTGTAAATGAAACTTGCTAGACACTGATGATGGATACAACATATTACTGAATATCTTGTTATAAGGTTGAGAGACTTCAGGATGTGCAGGTTAGCACGTAAATGAATGCCAGCGTGGTATTGCTGACAGTGCCTAATTAGGCATGACACTATACAGACATTCAAGGCAGTGGAGGTGTAACAGCATGCATTGGACCTAAGAGTGACTGGATGCTGAAGAATATTGCATTTTGAGAGCTTCATAATTGGTACTCTACTAAATATTGTTATTATAAAATCAAAAATAATGAGATATGGAGGACATGTAGCATACATAGAGAAGGTAGAAATGCATACAAAAAATATGGTTGTGGTTGAAGGTCTGAAGGGAACAGACCACTCTGAAGACCTAGGTGTTGATGGGATTTTGATATTAAAATTAATCTTTAGGAAATTGGGGGGGGGGGGGGGGGTTCATAAGGCTCAGGACAGGGACCTGTGGTGGACTTTTGAGAACATGAACCTTTAGATTCCATAAAAAAAGAGCAAATAATTTCTTGACTAGTTGAGTGATTATTCTTTTCAACAAGAGCTCTGCTTCTTGGAATTATTGTGTAACAGGTATTAAAATGAATAAAATACAGGTAGCCCTCAATTTATGCCGATTCAGATTAATGCTGATTTTGAAACCAGAAAGTCAACAAACAGAAAAAATATATTTTACTATTATTTATAACATTTTACAATGTTTCTTGTACTGCTTCTTATACTAAATCGTAATTATTACATCACTGATTTTGAATAAAAATTATAAATACAGTCATCTCTGCAATTACGTATGTTTTGTTAACGCAAATTTGCTCCAATGAGTTCGAATCAGTAAAAGCTGTTTGTGAAATACAAACTTTTGCATATGCGAGTTTGCTCTTGTGCTACAGCGAAGAGGAGCACTATGGCATCCATGAGGCCTTATCGTGAAATTTGAAAGAAAGAAATAATAAATCATGACAGTCCACACTACATGCCTTCTTTAAAAAAACATAACGATCCTCAACCAGGGACTTCATCAGAGAACTAACGCTGCTTCATCACGCCATCATCGATTGTAAGTGTATAAAATATATATTTTTAAATTCCCTTTATTTTATTTACGTTATTTCAGAGCCTTAAATATAATACCATTTTATTACTCGTCAGTGTTCGGGTGCGGGGAACACATGTCATTGACTTCCCATTAATTTACATTATAAAATCGTTCCAATTTACGCAGATTCTGATTATGCTGGTTCGTCCAGGAACACATCCCCGGCGTAAATTGAGGGGTACCTGTATGTTTTCCCAAGGGTCCGTATTCTGATGTTGCTGGAATTCATATATTCTATTCTTTTATAATGGAGTAAAACAACTGAAATATTGTACACACTGAAGATGTATAAAGAATAAAAATTTTCTTGGATATTATCCATCGTCTAGTAAATATAAAACGTAAAACGACGTTTCGGAGATGGGACTCTCTCTCTGAAACGTCGTTTTACGTTTTATATTTACTAGACGATGGATAATATCCAAGAAAATTTTTATTCAATTGACTCTTCACCATCGTCAAGAAGTTTTAGATTTGATATGTATAAAGAAGTTGGGGCAAGTACCAGGAAAAACATTCCTAAAAGAAATAGTGTTATTGTTATATATAGCAGAATGAATCTGCATTTGGCATTAAAAATATTTTGCATTTTGGTTGCTTTGGGCCCTTATTTGGACACATGATTAGATTCCCTGCCTTACCTTGGCTGTGTCCTTGTATGCTAAATACCCAGTCAAGTTTATTTTCTTTAAAATACGATTTTTTTATATGATAGTACAAAAAGTTTGTAATCAAACGTCTGTCTTCAGGTTGTGCTGAATGGAACTGTCTGGTTTCTTCTCAGATAATAGTAAAATGTTTCAGTAGCTGAAATGCTTTTTTTTCTTGCATTCTTTACTGATCCCATCAGGGACATTTAAGTTTTTATGATATTATATGTGGTTCGGATTCCACTTAAAACTGTAATCCCGTCTAATTGGCTGAATAGCACAAAAGGACGTAAAATCCTAACACACTGCATAATCCTGTAGATGGCAAGGAAGTAAAAAAAGTCGAATATTTTGTGCTTTCCTTAAGTTAGATGTGTTTATTGTAATGTTTGCCTCTATTTAGTGTACATTTAATTTGTTCTGTAGCATTTACTTTGTTGGACTATTCCAGAGCTTTTGTTGGATATAGGAAGATTGAAATTATGTACTGATGATTGATGACTACATAATAGAACAAGCAAAGAAGTGTGAATTGTTATTTGTTACCTGGAACTCATAATTGGATGCAGCCAGACGAAGTTAAGCTTATGTTCCATTAGAAGCGTGCCTGATGTTTTGATTTGCTAGTCATTCTTGCAGAAAACCTAATAAATTATATGCTAAAATACTCTGTAAAGTGCTTGTTTGTACTTTGCCTTCACAGTTTTTACAGCTTTCAAAAGAATTAATAGGTGTAAACAAGAATTTTTTAGTTAAAAATGTATAATTTCTTTTAAAAAAATCTACTTGATGGTGGCGTCTGCACAGACTAATGCTACAAACATATTAGAGATATAAGCGTAGGATATTGCTTCTCAAACTAAGGTAACCATAATGTAGGGTAATGTGTTTCTATGATTTAAAGGCTGTATGTTAAAGTTTAACATGCCTCCACTGTGAAAGTTACATCATTTTTACATGTTGGTAGCACTGATTTATGTTCATTGTATTTTGCCCAAGAAAATGATCAGCCCTTATTGATTCTGGAAGATAGCATTGTTTCCTTGTTTTCTTTTTGTTGCTTGTGACTAGCAGTTATAAATGAAACACTCGCCACTCATCATCCCCTGTAATACAAAATGTAAGCTACAGCACAGTACACCCTAGATATGAAAATTCTTACAGGCTTGTTTGCATCATTGACCTTGATTTTATTAAAATATTTCACAGAAGAGGAAACACTGTGACTACCATATCTTCTGCTGTTGATAGGAGCTTGTTTTGTTCTGGTCAGGAAACTTTTTTGGGGCTGTGATTTAATTGTATCACTATGTTCACCCCCATTGAATGAGGTGGGACATAACACCCACATATGGCCATTGATTATTAAATGTATTAAATTCATCTTCTTAAAGGGAAGCACTGAATACTGGAAAGGTAATGGTTAGACATTGGATTTATATGTGTATTTAGTTTCTCTTTTTTATATATATATAATTGTAATTTTATGTGGGCAGGTGCCAATGGCAATGATTGTAGTGCATTTAGAATCATTTTGGTTGTTTGTACATATAATGGCACCAATGCATATTCTGTCATATTTAAATGACAAGAAAAGGAAAATGGTTTACATATTTTAGCCATAATGACTGCGCAATCCTATATGAATATTCTATGGTCTCGAACCATTAATTAACAAGGATAGCAGTGTAAGAAACATACAAATATATTGGATACATAATAGCTGTGAACTTAACAGATCAATCCCAAAGTTCACCACTTTTGGTTGTTTGTAAGTGCTTATTTTGATGATTTTATTGGAGGTTTTAATTTTTGTGTTTGAATATATACGTATGTCAGGCTGTTTTATTTCATATAAATCTAATGTCTAGTAATAGTGGTGTTGTTTCAAGTGACAGTTCTTATGTTTCATGTATATGATGTCGCCTTGAGGATCAAGTGTGCTGTTTATATGAGGGTTGTACATAACCCCATGTCAGGGTAATGTAGTTTTAATCCAATAATTCTGTATAACTGATGTGTTTCCTCTCACTCACTAAGTTGATGTGTGGTGTGTGTGTGTGTGTATATATCTTGAGTGCTTGGTGTTGTGACACCCTAGTTTGTAAGAACTTGTAAGCACCTCATCAAAATGATGAAAGTAATCAAACACTTAAATAAGAAAATGTTGACTTTAACATGATAATTGAGCCTGGAATATTATTAATCAGGTGAGTGAGAATCAGTTACACAAAAATTCAATTTGGTTTTTGCATCTGTGGATGAAAATTAATCATTTTTTATGTCATGGATGATTAAAAAATGTGGTATGATTGTAATTCTTATTAATGTACATAGAGGAAAAGAATTTCACAAAAACACTATTAAAACTGATGAAATTGTGTGATCTACATTTTTATTTTTGTATGTCCATGTCACCTAAAACTATAGTTTTACCTGTAGTTTTGGATAGGTGTGAAATTTTGATCTCGCTGAATACGAAACTGTGAATTAGGGTTGTTTGAAAATAGAGTATTGAGGAGAATGGACCCAAGAGTGAGGAAGTAACAGAAGGCTGGTGAAAATTGCATAAGTGGGAGCTTCATAATTTGTATTCTTTGCTACGTGTTATTAGGATAAAATGAAGGAGGTTGAGATGTGTAGGATATGAAAGAGATAAATTTGACGTTCAGTTGTAAAAATCAGGCACAGTTTCACACATTGATATTAATTATTCTATAAAATAATGGGAAATTAATTGTAGGTCTAGCATGAAAATTGTGCCAGGTCTTTTGTGGATAACTGTACTATATCTTGGTCACTTATTTCTGCTTTCTCAACTGTATGAATCAGTATGCAAGAAGTTTGTTGAGTCTGTATTTTATTAGCTTCTATGGCCTCTAATTCCAGAATGGTGACTCAACACTTGTGTATTTTATCGAGTGTTATTTATAAAAAGAATTTTGAAGTGCTGGTTTACTGGTAGACAGGTAGCATTGTAACATATGTTTCAGGAAAATGTAATCTTTGTCATCCACAAATGTTTACATTACCACCTGATATAAAGTAGGCCTAAGATTACAATTTTATAATCTAGGGTGGGATATTGGTGAACCTGGTTTCAGTTCTTCCAGGTGAATACTGGTATAAGATTGACCACATCCTCCGAAATCCTTATTCAGTTTATACTTGGAAATGATCTTTCCATGTAATTGACACCATATAGCTTTGAGATTTGATACAGAGTCAGTAAATAACATAACCAGCTAAAGAATTACCTAAACATGTTATAATTTTCATATGGTAAGTTTTGCTACCTTTACAATGAGTATACAATACAGTAGCTATCAAAATATTTATATGCCTGTTATTTCATAAAAATGATTGCTCATCTTAACATGGGGCTTCTAGTTTTGTAATTAGAACAGTGTCTCCACATCATTTTCAATCTGTTACGTAGCAAGGAACCCTCCATCTATAGGGAGAGTGACACCATTTATCATGGAAGATTTATCACTGAGGAGATAGACAACAGCATCCACCACCTCATGTACTTCTGTAACAAGTATCAAGACATTAAAATTGGAATACATTTACTTGGCTACATGTACAGCCACACTCATATCTTAAATTTTGTACTGTGTTGTTGAACACTGTATTGTGCGATGTGTATTTAATAAATATGCTATTTCATATTTATAGATATTGCTGAACAACTAAGTTTTACTGCATTCAATCTCCAATGCAGTATACTACGATTAATCAGTGGACTAGAGACCATAATGAACACTGGTTTTTATGACAGTACTGTTGAGACTGATAAGTTACATAGTTTGTCTAGCCACAGCCTACATAACTTTTCCAATTGATTAATTACTTGCAGACTAAAACACACAATGATTACCTGCAAATCTTCCCAGAGGTATCTTTGCAAGCATGGGATTGGCTTTTTCAGGTTGTGACCAGCCCAGTCTCCCCATATCTGTTAGAACAACAGTTGGGTTGACACAGTTGACACGAATATTATGTGGGCCCAGTTCCAGGGCCATAACACGAGATACCATGTCGAGAGCTCCTTTTGTACCACAGTACACTGTGTGGTCTGCCAGGGCCGCCTGATATAATTAAAAAAACATTCATTATGATAAGTGCTTGGCGATATTCCATACTGCCTTACTGGAGTAAAATTTAGCCTGTACAGAACTACAGGCAGTATATGTGGGTGACTCATAAGTGGTAGAAATGCATGTACAAAAATTAAACAGGCACCCCATAATCAACTAAGGAAATGATTTGATTCAGTTGAAGTTGGTCAAGAGCCCCAGACCCTAGATGTGGTAATATGAACAACTCATAGCATTAGGGAAGTAATGATTTATATTAGTGTGAAAATATTTTAATAAATTATATGAACCTGGGAAGCCTGAGATGAGATATTAACAATGCTACCTCCACTCTTACGCTTTATCATTCCTTCTACCACAACTTGGCTCACATTGATCACTGCCTTCACATTCACAGCAAATGATCTGAAACATAAGCACTTTTTTAGTTATGATCACAGATACAAATTTAAGTGAGGCTCTCTTGTGGAGAATGCAGTTAGGCATGAAAGCTAAAATATATTACGCATCTTTGTATTTGGAACACAGCAGTGAGGTGGTTAAGGATGGCTACATGTAATTAATTAATTAATGTCTACACTTTTGGGACATTCAGACTTCTTTAAATCTGGCTAAAATGACCAAAATGTTCCTGTCTGTGAAGTCTTCCCAGATTTTCAATACATAATAAGTAAAAACATGCACTCCACTTTGTCTCACACATATTATCCAGATGTGTTCTTTGTGACTTCAGAGGGTATTTGAAAATAGGATGCTGAGGAGATTATTGATGAAAATTGAATAACAAGAAGCTTCATAATTTGTTCTCTTCACCAGATATTACAGCTATCAAATTGAGGAGGATGGGGTAGGCATTGCTTGTAGTACACATGAGGGTGAAAAGAAGTACATACAAGATTTCAATTGGATAGCCTGAAAGAAAAAGACCACTTGGAAGACCTAAGGATAGGTGGGAGAGTGATATTTATTTGGATATTAAGGAAATTAAGTGGAGGAGTATCGACTGGATTCATGCAATTCAGGGCAGGCTCTTGTGAACATGATAATGAATGTTTGGCTTCCACAGAAGGTAGGAAATTTTGACTATTTGTACAACTGAACTTCTTAAGAAGGACTCTGCTCCATGGCATTTGTTCTTTGTGACTTTGCATATCTTAACAAGTCTTGATATTCATTTACTGCAGATAAAATCCTGTTGCAAAGTTAACTTAATTACAGATCCATTCATCTTAGTACATGTAATGACATAAAAGGAAAAATAATTTTGTTAATAACATACATAAATTAGAAAAGTCATAGGATGAAGAAGATACAACATATTGAAAAAACATTTCAGATAATATTTGTAGAGCTTAATAAAACATAAAATTATATTATGTACAAAACTTTTGTATAACTAGCCATTTTAACAAACATTTGAGCTTAATGCAATGTGGGGATTATATTGCACTGATAAAGACAAAAATTTAAAGTTGCTGATATCTTTTATATTATGCCCCTCATACAAAACTGTACTGTAAGTAGTTTCAGAGATTAAACATCAAACATACAGATGGATACAGTCTACCTGTTGAGTGTCCATTTCATGCTCTTGAAGAAAAGAACACACAATAACCTAAACATTGCATAAATTAAGCACCTCATTTTCTTATATCAGGATTACAGACAAGATTAAGAAAATGTTCAAGAATGAAGTGTGGCCAATAAGAAAGACAAGTAGTAAACTTGTTGCACTGTATTACTTGTCAAAATTTTCTGGCTTGACATCAAGGAAAGGCTCAAGGGAGGCATGGGCAGCATTATTAACAAGACAATCAATAGGACCAGCAGACTGTATGGCAGCCCGCGTTGCATCCCAGTCAGCCAGATCTACAACAATTGTCTTAATGTTTTTCACTTCTGCTGACAGTGAATCAAGCCCATCCCTTGAACGTGAGACAGCAACCACCTCAGCTCCCAAGCTAGCCAATCGCTTGGCCAGTTCTCGCCCAATACCTGAAATGTTCAGGATTAATGTTAGTTCTTGTGTTATTGACACGAATATATCCATTTGACTCATAGTTACTTTTGTGTGTATAAATTAGTGGTCTGCAACCTCTTCTGACTCATAATTACTTTGTTCTGCATAATAACAGCCAACTATATATTTATAATTCTATTTCTATTAAAAGTATAGGACATGCTCTACAAACTAAGCCCTATAAAATATTTACAAAACAAATAAATTTAAATTCCTACTCTTTAGAAGGATTTACGTTCATCGAAAATTCTCAAATATTGTAAATACAAGTGAAGAAAATATTTCTTGTTCTGTAACAGCAATAACTACATATTTGTAATTATACTGCTATTAATTGCTTTATTTGTATTAAGTATTATATTCATATTATATCATTCTACATTCTTGTCTCAATACTATGAAGGATTTATAGAATGTAAACATATTGTGCTCTGTTCACAGACAATGATACACCAGATGGTCTTCCAGGGACCAGTATTCTATATATTGTACAACACAACAATCTACAAATTTATTTACTGCTAGCTTGTCTAAAAAAAATTATAATAATTAATCCCTTTGTGAGGCATTAAAATCAAAGATAATATCAACAATTATTTATACACAAGGATATATGAAGGGCTAACTACAGCCTTCAGACTACCATGAATTAATCCATGGACCAGCAGCAATCAATGGGCCATTGGCTTAAGCCATTGGTACAGATCCATTCTTGGTTAGGTGTACGGTACTATATGCTCAAGTGAGAGGAAAACATTTCTATATAAAACTAATCAGCTCTATAAAACTTATCCAAAACAATGAAGGAGGCACATGTTTCATTTTCAAAACGAAAATCATTTACTTCAATAAAATACTCATTTCTGTTTAAATTACTTTACAGAGGCTTTAAGGTAAGAAAAATAATATAAAATTTATTCAGTTCATATAGGTTATGATCAGCTGTTCATAGATGTATAGATAAGAGATTAAATTAAGTAAATACTCAGCATTCATATTTAAATAGAGGCAAACCACACAAGTCCCGACAGTTAGCAATAAGCTGAGATTTAAATCAGTTACCTCTTGAAGAAAAGAAGCAACAAAGAAAAAGAAGGAAAAGATACAAAAAGAAAACATTTAAAAAAATTAACTGTTGTATTATTAATTATATGAATCAATAAACAGTACAGAAAATAATCCACAAATTCATGTAGAATAAAATTAGTAAGATTCTATATAGCCTATAAGAACATGGAGTAAAATGTTACTGTCATAATATCTATACTTCTACAAAGTATGCTACTTTTTTTTAATATACAGACATAGGTCTTACCCTTTCCAGCCCCAGTTACAAGAACATGTTTTGAAATAAAGTTGATTTCCATGTTTGCTACAATTATTTAAATGGAAATATAACTTGATATTTTAGTTTCCTAAGAATTATTGGGCTAATAAGTGGTATTTGAAGCCACTAATTTGCTTGTCCTGTCAGATAAGTTAGGTTAGCCCGGTTTACAATCAAATCTTGGCTGATTTACTCCACTAAGAGAATGATCTTTTACCATTTCCAGTTAACACCTTGTGTATAGTCTCCATGCTTTGCATATGTAGGTGATCCGTGTCTGCTTACTCCTTGGAAAAGTGAATCCAAAGAGTTTAAGAAGAATTACCTACATAATTTGTGGTGTAAGAAGTTATATTCTTGTGACATTTAAATTATATTATGTTGTCGTTAATAGTTATAGGAAATGTAATTAAAATCTTTATAATACATTTGGTGTGGAAGTACCGAGAATTTCGTGTTTATTTTTATCAATTGTTTTTCCTCCTACAGTTGTCGAAGTGCAGTTTCTTTGAAGGACGTGGTTGTATACCTTGTTGGCCCATTTAGGACAGTTGCTCACTAATTAGTGGTAAATGTGTAGACACTAAATGAATGAAAAAATATGTCCAACCCAGGCGGAAGCAGGAGAAATGGGGCCATGAAAATACGCCTAACAAGTAAGCATCATGATTTTATCTATGAAACTGAACTTCGTGGCATTTTTCACGTGTTTGTGGACTCCGGATGTCGGAGAAAACCTCTGTTTTTGTTATGCATATACCAAATTCAATATGGCTACTTACATTGAACATCGACAATTAGCCCTTTAATTCACTGTTAAGAAACTCCAAATACAATATACTTTGGTCCAGAAAATTGTGTTTAGTATTGCGTATTATTACAAATATATGGCACATTATGCATGTTTTACAAGATATGTAATTCTTATGTTTTCTATTTTCAGTTCTTTGTGCCAGAAATTTGGCTAGGAAAGACTTATTCAGTAAGTATTGAGGTAATTGTATATGTTGCAGAAGTGGTAGTTTTCCTTTAAGACATTTCCTAAGTAACATGTAATCTTACTGAGCATTCATACTTGATTTGTTTGACAGGACTGCCCGATCCATTTGCCAAGATCAGTGTGGATGGATCGGGCCAATGCCACAGCACTGACACATGCAAAGCTACTCTTGATCCTAAGTGGAACCAACATTATGACCTGTATGTATTCTTTTGCTAAATTGTGAATATTTATTTATTTGTGCCTGTGTGTATGCAGAATATTTTACCATTTATATTTCATTGCAGTTATATTGGTAAAGGTGATGGTATAACAATCAGTGTGTGGAACCATAAGAAAATACACAAAAAGCAGGGTGGAGGGTTCTTGGGTTGTGTCCGTATCATGTCCAACACAATTCAGCGCCTTAAGGACACAGGCTGTAAGTACTTCATGTTACAAGATATATTTAAACTGCTATTGTATAATTATAGTGCTGAAGAGCATCTGGTATATGTAATGAGTTAAATTTCTTTGTGTCTGAATGGGAGAAATAAAATTCATAATGAAGTTTTAATGACTTGGGAAGATCGCTATCTTCTGGGTTATAGTCTGGTAGAAGTTTACCAGTGTTTCAGAGGTCTTTGTCTCAATCATCAGGACAATGAGCAAGTCACGTGCAAGGAATTGATTTGAGATGTAGGGACCAGTTGATCATGGCAGAACTGTGACTGGACTAGTGGGAAATAAGGCGAGGATTGGGTGAGGGCAAGATAGCCAACAGGAGAGTTTTGGCATACCACAGCCTGTTCAGAAGGGGGGGGGGGTTGACATGCAGGAGAGAGAGGTTAAAGGAAGGGGCCCCTTTGGGGACTGGTGGATAGAATACTGAACACAAAGAAGTGAAGTGAATGTAAGGAGGGGAGTAGTGAAAGGAAATATATGGGGATACATGCATGTTTGATGAAAAGGTTCTGTATAAATAATTCAGTTTTACATTTTTTTTAAAATTTTGAAAACATTTTAAACTGTTTAGAACTAAAATATGAATTCAAGCACTTTATGGTGCATCAGTTCTAGCACATAGCATGTACACTTTGATGTAATGATAATGTAGAAGATTTGCCAGGATGGACATGGAAAAAGTCTTGCAGGAGTTTCAATTCAAGTCTGTGGTTTGTTGGTTATCTGCTTTAGAGCACTGTGTATGGTTACTGTTTTGTATCAGTTTTGGCAAAATTACATTACAAAGGTGGAATGAAAGTAGACATGTTGGCTCTTAGCAGTTACTGAGTTTGTGTTGTGAATATAGATCAACGGTTGGACCTGTGCAAGGCTAGTCCAGATGACCCTGAACCAGTGAAAGGTCAGATTGTAGTGTCACTACTGTCACGGGATGGTCATGGAGGTGTGGCAGGAGGAGGTCATAATGCTGTGGTGGATCCACTAGGGGATCTTAGTTGCCCTGAGGATCTGCCAGAAGGTTGGGAAGAACGAAGGACTTCTGCTGGAAGGCTGTACTATGTAAATCATCACACACGAACCACACAGTGGGTTAGACCCAATAGGTGAGGATTTGTAAATCCTAATACAGTGTTTCCTGAACTGAATCCATTTTTCTTCCTAAAGTATCAGTTGAACCCTTAACAGTTTCTGGTTCTGTGCCTACCTTTTAACATAACCCACGAACAAAATTACTTATAGAAAAAATTGTGCCGGTATAATGGCTGTATTATTAATAGTGCATTGGCTTGACCACACGAAGATTGGGATTATAGGTTTGAATTCCACTTAAGACATGGTTGTCTGTTTGTTTATGTGTTTCTGTGTTGTGCTGTTCTGAATAGATAGATGTCTTGAAATGGACTGTTCCTGATCAAAGAATCTTGCCAAATATCTAAAAGAAATTATAATTTGAAAAGTAATTATGAATTAGAACAAGCCACAAGGCCTAAAAAGTTACTACAAAATGACAAATAAATGTCCAGAAATGGTTAAAAAATGTGCATGGCATTGAAAAGTTGGAAGAAGTGTGTCAGTGTTTTTATAATTTGTATATACCAACTGATTTTAACCTTTGATGGTGATACTGCTTTTGGATGCTGACACAATGTGGAAGTGAACTGTGTTGCAGATATTTCAGAGGAACATACCACCTCCATCATCAGGACTAAAGTGAGGATTGATATGTAACATAACTTGTATGTTTTCTTAAACATTAGTAACACGCTGCTCTTCAACATGGCTAGAGTTTAAAGTAGAAACATGATAAGAAGTTAGTCAGATTAAGGCTGCAATGATATAGGCATGTGTTATTCATAATAGAATTCCTTTGAGAGCTGCAAATAGAGACCAAGTTCAGGGTGGAAAAACCAAGAGAGGAAAAGTATATAAAAGACATTTAAAATAAATATAAAATTTTCCTTGGAAAACTCTGAGTGGAGTTGCTACTAGGGATAATTCAAGGTAGGAATACAACATTAAACTTATCATTGATACAGTATTAAAAATGTTAACTGGATGGAAGTGTCTGAGAATAGGATCCAGTGGTAGGCTTCAGTGTTAACATTGTTGAACGTTTGGTTTCTGTTACAAGAAAGAATTTCTTGAACAGCAGAATTTGCATTCATTGTATGTGTGT